GCAGTGAGAGCTAGATAAGAACCGCATTCAGGCCTGGCCGGTGTGGTTCAGTGGTGAGTGTCAACCAATGAACTAGGAAGGTCACGGTTCAATTCCTGGTCAGGGCACATGCCCAGGTTTTGGGCTCGATCCCCAGTAGGAGGCGTGCAGGAGGCAGCCGATCCATGATTCTCTCTCATCATTGATGTTTCTACCTCTCTCTCCCTTCCTCTCTGTAATCAATAAAAATATATTAAAAAAAAGAAAAAGAAATGAAGGCTTTGCCTTGGTTGATGATCACATTGTGGGTAGCAGGTGGGGCTCTGGGCTAGCCCGAGGCCAAAGCCATACGGAGCATCAGCAGCATGGGAGGGAGGTTTGTCGTCTTCAAGACGGTCCCATGTCCACCCAGGCCTCCCTGAGGGGAAGGCTGCAGGGCTTCTTAGGTGGCTGACAAGAGGAAACTGAGGCCCAGAGGAAAGCAGTGAGCTTGCCCAAAGTCCCCCGGCTGCTTGACCCTCACAGCGGGGCCTGCTAAAAATAACCCCTGGTCCCAGAGGGGGAGGAATGGAATCCGGGCTGGGGTTGACATCTGCTGTCCTCCTTGACTGCTGGGTGGGTGCTGTGCGCAACAGCCCCGGACGGACGGTGCAGATGACGCAGACTGGAGCGGGGAGAGGGCAAGGCCAGGCCGTGTCATCCCCAGATGGGGCCTGGCCTCGCCTGGGCTCCAGCAGCGTGGCCTCCCCTGCCCAGCGCAGGGGTGATAAGATGAGTTTGCACTGCAGCTCTGAGGAGGAGGCGGCCAGTGAAGGGAGGAAAGGGAGGGAGGGCTGGAGGGAAGGAAGGGAAAAGGGAGGAGGGAGAGGGTGAGAGAAGCCTGAATGGAGCCCGTAGACCAGTGGTTCCCAACCGTCCTAATGCCGCGACCCTATAATACAGTTCCTCATGTTGTGGTGACCCCCAACCATAAAATTATTTTCGTTGCTACTTCATAACTGTAATGTTGCTACTGTTAGGAATCGTCATGTAAATATCTGATATGCAGGATGTATTTTCATTGTTACAAATTGAACATAATTAAAGCATAGTGATGAATCACAAAAACAATATGTAATTATATATGTGTTTTCCGATGGTCTTAGGCGACCCCTGTGAAAGGGTCGTTCGACCCCCAAAGGGGTCGCGACCCACAGGTTGAGAACCGCTGCCGTAGAGGGATCAGGACTCTGCCAGAATGGGGCCCACCCCGACTCAGGGCGTTTGCAAAAACCGAAGCTTAGGGCGCGGGGTGCTTTGCCCGTGATCCCAGAGGCAGAAGGCGGCCAGGACTAACTCATGGCTGCTTCTCCTGCTCTCCAAGTGGAAACCACTTTCCTAAAATGTGACCCCAAGATACCCGCCCCCCATTAGCAGGAGAGAGGCCTGCTTAAAACGCAGAGTCCGCCAGGCCAGCGGGGCTCAAGGGTTGAGCATCGACCTATGAATCAGGAGGTCACGGTTCAATTCACGGTCAGGGCACATGCCTGGGTTGTGGGCTCCATCCCCAGTGGCCGGCGTGCATCCTTGATGCTTCTCTCTCTCTCTCCCTCTCCCTTCCTCTCTGAAAATAAAAAATTTATTTTTAAAAAGCCACCAAAAAAGAAAAACGGAGATTCCTGGGTCAGAACCGAAGGGGTGTGGCCCGTGAGTGTGCATGTCCACCCGTGCCTTGGGGAGGGGGGCGGGTCGTGAGCCCTGGCCCGGGAAGCTCTGTGGCTCTTTCAGGACCTCCTAGTCTGACCTCCGGGCCCCAAGGCCCCTGCAGCCAGCTGTGGGGCTGAGTCACACCACCCCCGGGATGGGGACGGGACGCCTGGGCCTTTCCCACTCCGGGCCTCACCCACCCGCTCCCCAACCCCATGCAGCCCCCCTTCCGGGCAGCACACCCCTCTGGAAACTTCCTGGCAGCCGGGATCCCCCTCCTTCAGAGTGTTGGAGAAATAGCCTCCTCCTCCATCTGGACTTGTTTCCAACATCCTAGCTCTTTGTTTCCCAACCTTTCTCTCTATCAAACAGGAAACTCCCAGAGGGCTGGAGACTTGTTGGTGTAAACAGTAAGCCTGTGAAATCCATGACTTCACCTAACCCTCCTGCCAACCACAAGTGCCAGGGCTGGGAGAGCTTGACAATGAGGAAACCGAGCCTGAGACGGGTGGTGGCGGCCCGAGGCCGAGCCAGAGCCAGAGCCGGGTTGGGACCCATGTCCAGGCCCCCACCCCGTCCAGCTCTCTCTGCTCTGTATGATCCCACAGCCCAGATGAGGAAAGTGAGGCCCAGAGGTGGGCAAAGCATTCAACACCATCTTTATCCTGCATTCACTTCTAGCTGTACTTGGATCTGAGTCCAAATGTGTGTTTTTTTTAAAAATATATTTTTATTGACCTCAGAGAGCAAGGGAGAGGGAGAAAGAGAAACATCAATGATGAGAGAGAATCACTGATGGGCTGCCTCCTGCACGCCCACACTGGGAATCGAGTTTACAACTCCTGTATGTGCCCTGACTGGGAATTGAACCCTGACTCCCTGTCCACAGGTCGACGCTCAACCACTGAGCCACACCGGCTGGGCCTGAGTCCAAATGCTGACCTTTTCCCTTGACTCCCTCCAGCGGATGGGCACTGCCCAGGGCCCCACAGCAGGATGGGTCAGAGCGGGGCCTTGAACTCCCAGGCCAAAGCCTTCATCCTGGGTCCCTGCACTGGTCCCAGTGTCATCGCTGCGACTCAGGGAGAGGGAATGAGTGCCTGGTCACAGCTTGGCCACTGTCACGCTGGGCTCTATCCCTCTTATTAATGCCCCACTGAGCACTGAGTGAGCTGGAGAGTCCTTTTCCCGAGCGTGGAGTAGGGCCCCTCTGAGCCTGGCACAGGCCCAGACCAACGCAGCCTCAGTGAAGCTGGGAAGGGTGTGGAGCAAGGTGGCTAGACTGGCATTCCTGAGAAAGGCTTGCCAAGCTCTACCCTTCAGGTGTGGCCTGCGGGACACTCCAAGGAGGCACAGCCAACTTTGGGCTGGAGTCCGAGCCACCCAGCCGGCGCCCAGGGTAGCCAGCAAGGGACTCTGGACAGCCCACAGTGAAAAACAAAAATAACTAATATGTGTCAAACCCTAATTATGTGTCAGGCCCTGTGCTTCCACCCCGACCCCGCGCCCCAACCCCAGGTCTCAGGGCTGAGGAGTGTGCGGGTTCCATCCAGCCCTGTTCCTTCTGGGTATCAGGTTAAGTCCCTTCATCTCGGACTAGAAAGTGCCACAGCTGGGTCTCCTTCTGCTTCTGCTCCTCCCTCTGCGAGGCCCCCCATCCGGTCCCCTGCACATCACCCCAAGGACCACTCCATCCTGGAGCAATCCAGCCCCGCCTCCTCCAGGAAGCCCTCCGTCAATCTTGAAAGCGAGCTGGGTGGGGTGGATGCTGCTCCAGACTCTGGCCCTGAACCCCGCGTTTCCCCTCCCTCCTCTGTCCAAGTTGTCCATTTTACAACCCCAGTGACCCTTGTCCCCCCCTCCCCCCCACTCTGCCCTTGCACGGCCCCCACTGGGGGATTCTGCAGCACCGATTGGTCAGTGGGGAAGCAGCACGGGGTAGGCCGCAGTGGTTCTCAACCTTCCTAATGCCGCGACCCTTTCATACAGTTCCTCACGTTGTGGTGACCCCCAACCATAAAGTTATTTTCGTTGCTACTTCATAACTGTAATTTTGCTACTGTTAGGAATAGTCATGTAAATATCTGCTATGCAGGATGTATTTTCATTGTTACAAATTGAACATAATGAAAGCATAGTGATGAATCACAAAAACAATATGTAATTATATATGTGTTTTCCGATGGTCTTAGGGGACCCCTGTGAAAGGGTCGTTCGACCCCCAAAGGGGTCGCGACCCACAGGTTGAGAATCGCTGGTTGGGTGGCGGTGTGTGAGCCGGATGAAGTCATCCTCCCACCGCAGAGCCCTCGCCCCGCCCCCAATCTTGGAAGCCGGCGCC